TGACTACTAACTACTGATCATAGGAATTTAAGGTAACAACTATCTAACGTAGATCGAGAACAGTAATGCCGAGGTCAGAGTAATCAGTACCTATGGAAATCTCAGTCGAATAAGAGCACGTTTGGAAGATTGCTTTCGAAATGTTACAGAATATTAGGGATTCCCACTCTGAGAGGAAAGCAACTATTTATATGGCAGGATTACTATGAAACGACTGAGGAACTTCAAGACATTGAACCCATTGAAAGCCTTCGAACGTGCTACTTAAATTCTAGGGTTAGTTTTTATTGTCAATAGAATCAGGTTGGAAGTGCAGAAAAAGATATGAAGTCAAGAAACACCTAGATGACTGAAACCGCTGACGCGATCTCTTTGAACTAAAATTCCGCGCGGGTGAAAAAGTCCACAGTCCACAAGAGCACAAGAATACAACTTGCTGTCACACTAAATAAGAAAAAATATCTTCCAGAGCGGCAGTTATGGCTGAAAGCAATAATACCCCTTCCATATTTTCAAGTGATCTTTGCTTCTTGTCGGGCTTTCCAATCTCCCTCGGTATTGTTTAGCAGCTGGTGCATATGTTAGGACCTCCATCCCCAGGCCAGAGATTGGATGAAAGAAATTTGGTCCTTCAAGAGTCACACGCAAGGGATCCTCTCAAGGATGTGGTGCAGTACTACTTTTTGGAAACTGTGTCATCCTTTCATATTCGGCAGCAGAATAAACCCAGGAACATAAGAAGGAAAACTTTTGCAACCTAAGAAGGAAGAGCTGTTGAAGACGTTGTTCCCCAGATGCGTCTGCACAGAAGTGGAGCCTCAAAACACTGAAATCTCAAGTCGGGCAGATAACAAGCTTAATCATCCATGATTGGTAGAGCTGAAAGTGATCGAGATAATGGATGGCATGGCGAATACAAGAAAGAACGGCATGGCTGCACAGAGCTTCCTTCTCTCCATTATCTAACCTCCGTCATCTAACAGCGTCAATCAGAAATATTCATGAACTTCTCAGAGGGAAACAAGTCGAGTATTTCAACTTCGCTAAATGCTCACAAGATGGAATTGTTTTAAGCTCCAAGACGTATGTGACGAAAACACTCAGATCCCTAGGGTTTATCTGGGGAACGTTTTCATCACGGGGATGAAGAAACATTTGAATAAACAAGTAGGGAAGGAAAAACAAAGCAAGGCTACATAAACCGAAGAGCCCCCATGCGGCTCGTAGGTCACTGAAAAACATTCTCAGACAATCCTAATCATGCGATCTTAGGAGCTGATACGGCACCGCATGGTGGAAACGACAAAGAGTCTATGAAAAAATAAAATCATATGGTTCAGGCGATTATGGCATTTCCACTTAGTGCTTTTTGATCGTCAGCTATTGCTTGTGTTACTACGGTAACAACGTAGAGAAAAAAGACCCCTTAGACAGGTTTATTGCTTCCAGTATGACAAGAAGCCGAGAACCTTTGAATACGAAACAACCTTTCAAGGCAAAAATGAAATACTGAACCTGTTCAATCGCGGAGTGAGCGACAACAAGCCGATTACGGCCGTCTTCAATACAAGACAGTTCTAGTAAGCTTTTTAGGGAGTACACAACAAAATAAAAGGACTACAAAAGAAGTAAAGAGGCCTTAACTCGACAAATTGAGGCAAGCGGTCCATTTATTTCAAAAGAAGGATGCCAATCACATGCTGATGGACAACTTCCCATACGCATGGATGAGATTCGTTTTCTCTTTCCCATCCGAGCCTTAGTTAACATCGAAAAATAAAGGATAAACTTCTTGAGCGTTGTCAACCCGTCCGAGGAAGCGTCCTGTATTCGACCTGTATTCAGGATAATAGTGGCGCATTAAATGCGTATGTGGCCTGTGCAATGATTGGCGGTGGCTAGTCGATGAACAAGTCAGTGCTTCTATCCTCACAAACGGTTCCGGACAATTAACCGACCCTGGGGAACTGGAAGGCTTGATTGGACCAGACGGACATCGATCCGGGTTCGAACCTGTGACCCTGCGTGTGTAATAGTGCCGCCACACTACCTTCGCCCTAGTTAGCCTCAGACATATTAAAATGAAGCGGACAATGATTCTCCCAAAATTGGGTGTTCTCCATGTTTCAGCGAATAGCATTGACCTTACGTGCAGATTAAAAAGGCCAGTAGCAGCTCTTGTTCGATTCGATCTATCGGCACTTCCAATATATAAAAATCACAATAACTTCCTCAATTTGATTACATTCCTTGAGTCGTACGACGATACGTATTCGAAGACTTTTAATTACTTCTTAAGTACGAAGCGGTATTGAAAGAGCAACTCGGAAAATACCCTATCCCACAAGAGAACTGCGACTCGAGTGTAAAATGTGCAGTTGCTCGCAACAATAACAGAACACCTACAAAACGGCTCTGGTCACAGCACGGCAGATCAGCTTCAAAGAAGCACTTTCGGAAACTGCGAAAATACGGTGCATCCTTAACGACAAGTTAGTTAACAAGCCGAAGAGCAACGGGAACCATGATTTGCTCAGGTGGGTTTCACCTAAGGAGCTGTTAGTGGGAAACTTCAAAAGCCGTTAACGTCTCTATATTAATGGCCTCTGGAACAGTCTCATACATGTAAGTAAACTAACCGCTCATTCAATGATGCCGATTTCAAGTGGTGCAGATTTTTGTTGTTGGAGTGAATTTGGAGCTTCTTGCCTAGCCCTTTAAAAGGCACTAAAGTCCAGTGCATCAAGAAGTATTCGGAATGTTCAATGAAAGATGAACAAATTCCTCGAGCTTCATATAACAAACCTATCTCTTTCCCAATGTAATCGCTTCTCTGAGTAGTAGCGATAGAAAATCTTATTAGGAGCTTTGATAATTGAAAACCGACAGCCGTAGCATGTCAATTTTAATTCTAGTCTCGGGCCAATATGATTTCTTCTCTTAATCAACAAAAACATACATCTGCTAACGTAACAGAAAATAGGATGATTCAGTCGTACCGAGGACGTCATAAGGGATTCCACCATTTGAAAGAGTAGTAATGATATCACACGAGCACCATCTTTACACTGATCTCGCTTGATTGTCTTACAGCTTGAGGAAATCCTCATACCATATATCCCATCTTATCCTACCCCCTTCACCAAACGGTCTTATCTCTCTTAACCTCGATCCATCCCCTGCCGTGTCCCTTGAGAATCAGCCCAACAGCTCCTTTCATATTTCTCAACTGAGAAAGGAATGTAAGAAGAGTATTAGGAAAAGAAATTAGAGGAAAAGATGTTTCTGATCTGAAAATTCCCGTCGATGTCTGATGTGTTCGGTTCACCAACACGTTTAAAAAAGTATTCGAGATAACCTCAACAAATGATATCCATTTTGAGAAGTTATGTACATAGATGTTCCTCTCCATTTTCGTGTATGGTTATGTCAAGATTCCTTGAGTTTTGCTTGTGTGAAGCCGGTATGAAAAAGGAGGACCATCGAGAGCATTTTTGACAACTGATGCTTTTTTTTCTAGAATAAAAGCAAGAACCAGCTCGAACTGCGAAAAAGACATGTGATGTTTACAGGGACAATGCTCTATGGAAACTAACTGGTATTATACAGGTTGAAAATCGGGAAAATCGGTTGTGGAGACCATCCTCAGATGATAACAACAAATAGAAGTACATCAAACGTCAACTAACTCGCAACAGGCTTTATAACCAAGCATATTTTATGAATAACTGCATCATTCGTTCTTTTGAAAAGTATGGAGATTGCACACAGCGAGGTACGGTGCATAAACTTCAATGTTCAGCCTGTGACGAAACAAAAATTGCTAAGACGGAAAGGATACGCGACATACGCGTCAAAAAACATCCAGCAGAAAAAAGGACGTAGAAGCCCCTCCACACCACCTAGGAGGCACCGACCAGAAGGACATCAGGACAGTGACTTTGACATTGAATGTAAATTCTTAGTTCACGACAATGAGATCGGTACATACTCGCACGAAAAATCTAAAGCTGGACAACCGAATTGAATGCATCACCGTAACAAGTGAACTTTTGCCATTTACCTTTTTGTATGCTTCGGAATCACCTCATAGCGCTTCTCTAATGGTCATCTATGTATAGCGTCTCATTGGTCTCATGTTGATGACGGAATCGAATGATACCTCAACGCTGGCGAAACCACAGAAGGTTGATTACTTAGCTGGGATCTCTTGCTTGACGTTTAAGCTTTCGTGATTTGTTGCAGCTAGCCTAGCGCGTTTGGGCTCTCGGCCGAGTTGGTGCTAGGTCAGGAGCTTTGAACTACTCCTAAGTCTTTAAAGACGACGATTTGTTTGTAATGTCGAACAATAACGGGGTTCAAATAGAACAAACCTTTACGGGAGAGCAGCACAAAACAGTGGAATGGTTAGGTTTCAAGAAGACCGAACTTGGAAGTTATTACAAATCAAAAGCTTAGTGAAAACGAATCGGCGCCAACCAGTAGTGAAATAGCGGAGAGGCTCAATGTGTCAAACTCGACTATTCACAACTATGAAGCTTGATGTTGTTGGCCGCCTTGATGTTTGAGGGCCTCACAATTGAGCGAGCGCAACCTTATCAAGCGCGCTCCTGTGTGTGATCATAGCTTAAACGTAACAGAAACCAGCATTTTCTGAAAAGTATGGTAACGGGAGATAAGTATGGGTTGTGTGCGACGACGTAGAGCAGGAACAACCATTAAATAAGCCCAGTAAACCGCTACCGACCACTCCAAAATCTGAAATCCATGCGCTGAAGACTGCGCTTTGTTGCTGATGGGATTGGAAAGGAACTACTGATTGAGAACTGTTAGCGCCCAGCCAAACGATACTTTTGGAAGATGCTGTGCACAGATGACAACTTAGAGGCAGCTGCTGAACAGAAGCACCCATAAGAAGCCTACCGTAAAAATGCTGTCTCTCATCAGAACAATACCGAACGGCACATCTCTAATTACTCGTCGTCTCTAATTTCTTCAACATGAATGATCACTACATTTACCGACACCGCGGCGGTGTTGACCGCCGTGAACGGCATCTGAGCGGTGATGCCCGCCGTGAAGTGTACGACATCGGGGCGGTGGTGCACGTCGTGAACGGCATCGGAGCGGTGATGCCCGCCGTGAACGGCATCGGAGCGGTGATGCCCGCCATGAACGGCATCGGAGCGGTGATGCCCGCCGTGAACGGCATCGGAGCGGTGATGCCCGCCGTGAACGGCACCGGAGCGGTGATACACGTCGTGAACGGCATCGGAGCGGTGATGCTCGCCGTGAACGGCATCGGAGCGGTGATGCCCGCCGTGAACGGCACCGAAGAGGTGGTGCCCGCGATGGACGACACCGGAGGTGCAGTGGACGACATCGGGGCGGTGATGCCCGCCGTGGACGGCATCGGAGCGGTGATGCCCGCCGTGAAGTGTACGACATCGGGGCGGCGATGCACG